CAAAGTAAGGGGGGGGGGGCGCAGAAGAAAAACGAAATAGGGTACTACCACTTGGGGGGGGGGTAAGCAAGATAAACTTGTATATTGTTACCCAGACAGTGAATGTTATGTCAATCTTATCATTACATACTTATTGTTGTCCAAAATCGTGCAGTACTGGTATTATTACACGTTGTTTACTCATTTTCATGTGGTATTGCATAATGACGTGGGGAGAGTTTAGTGTCGTGGAACTTTATTTTCAATTATTCTTATAGATGTTGCATATCAGGCTCCCCCGCCACGTTGGCTCGGCGATAAGCTTGGTCTTGTAACGCTCTAAAATTCTAAGTATGATTACTGCGGAGAAAGGGTACAGCTGAGATACCCCTTACGCAAAGTTAAGCTTAAATAAAACGGATATTGTATAATAATGTTTATATTATTATGATATTTGTGCGTGTTTAAAAACTGATTTACGCTGATTTTTTTTTTTTTTAATGAATAACGTAACCCTCACGAATGATATAACCTTCATGAAATCAATAACCATGCACAATATTGTCTATTTTAATAATTTTTAATAAATATCAATATGATGTTAATATTTCAGATATCAGAGATGGTAGTTTAAAAGCTATCCTGGGACTCTTCTTCAATCTGTCTCGTTATAAACAAGCTCAGAAGACGGCAGCCACTGCAAATAATCAGCCCTCTAGCGGTTACTCGCAAGGAAGAGTAGGGCTGACACCTTCTAGTGGTGGAGAAATGCTTTCGAAGTAAGCTTTGCTCTGACTGTATAATTATGTATTATTGACGAATATTTTAGAACTTTTCTACATAACGTCTCTGAAACACTCGGTTCTCCTTTATTTCTGCAATCTTTCGGCTATTTTGCTAGAGCCTTCAACGGTTAAGATATTAGTATTATGTTATAATATTTTTTTTTTAAGTGTTAACTGGAATGAGTTCAAAGTATCATCTACCAACAGTGACATCTACAATAATGGCTAGAAAATAATTATTGACAAAAAATATAAGAACTTCCAACCGAAAAATATCATGTAATATAATAATAAAATATTATGTAAATTAGTTATATAAGAATTAGATTACTAACCTGGTACGTTCCAGCAAGAGAGCCGAATATTTGCAGAAATAAAACACAATTAGTTGGGAAAGAAATGTCCTACACAAAGGCGGATTTGTGATTTGCTTTCTCTATCGGGTCTGAGGGTACGGTACGTTTTGATTGGTAGTCCATCGGAAAGGGGGGGGGTTGCAACTCCCTCGATCCCCATCTGGATCTACTATCTTCCCCTTTTAGTGTTCTAATTATTGATTTTTGTGTTATTGGTCATTGTAAATATTTAATGAACTACTGCTTTTAAAACTATAATAATTAAGTTATGTACGAACAGTAAATACAGGAATATACGTAATGGTAATAATAAAATGATATTATGCTAATACAAATGCGGTTAGTTTAAGATCTCTATTTCTTGGAGTATGAACAATCTTACAATTCCAATTATGAACTGGTTTATTAAACATTCCTATACAAAAATGTATATTATTCCTGTGAGCAGTGTCATTTTATACAGTGTTTTGTAATATTGAAAACAAGAAGTGGACATGTTGTGGAGTGTAATATTTTACTGCGTTGTAGTGAATCTTTTCATGTTAACACTTTGCCCTCTACTGGCTTAACGGTAAAGTCTCAAGACTTATAACGCTAAAAACCGGTTTTCGATACCCGTGGTAGTCACAGCAAAAATAACAAACTAACACTTCGTCTTTATTAGTCTCGGGCTGGTTCAACGGTAGGTATACGGAACTACATTGTTAAAATCCTGGGTTTGATTCCCCAAGGAAGACTGAGCGCAGATAGCACATCAATACATTCTACGTAAATCTGTGTAATTATTTTTATAATTCTTTGTGAATACGAACATAGATCTTTCACGAAACGGATATTGAAACTGACCAATAGGCGAGTGAGTTGAACTTTGATAAAATTGTATAGCTTTGTGTTATCGAAATATTTGTACATTTCACTATTAACTCTGTTGATATATTTAAAATGTTATGCTTTTTAATTTCATATCTCCACAATAGATGGGGACACAATCAATATTTTTCCTTAACTTTTTTGTTGTTGGATTCTCTTATTTGGCTCAAAACAGCTAGTTTCTGACTTTTCGTCAATTCTATTTAAGCTCGCAGGCTATTTTGAAATACTGTTTTGTGTTATAAAGTTACTGCTATAATAAACCCTTGCATTCAAGGTAGAGAACTTTTCTGGACATTTTCACTGTGTATGGCGGCAGAAAGCCTTGAAGAATTTTATAAATAACTCTGAAAATTTTGAATGCTTGTTATTCAACTTGTATGAATTCCTTGACTTCTTTCTGTTCGTGGTCTATTTATGGAACTCATCATTAATGCATTAATTAATTTGAAAATACACATTGTATCAATTTTCGTAGATATAAAGTAAGATTTTGGTTTGAATACTAAGTGATCATCCTATATATTCAAATAGTTTCAAATCCTAAAACAAATTTTAATACGGAAATTTTTTGGTGCGAATTAGTATTTCATCTCTCACAGACGATATAATGATTGTTCCAGTTTGTTTGTTTGTTTTTTATTTTAATACAACAGATTGATATATGTATTATTTGTATCATTATTATTTTTAATTAGATTACCAACTCTTTCCAAACCTTCCACTGGACGTGTTCCTACTCAGTCTTGTGCCAGAGAAAATTCTAGCAGTATACCTGCGCCGCCCTCTACCGTTAATAATAATCGTAAAAATGTGAATCAAACAGAAAAAAGTAGAAATTTAACCAATCCTGGAAACGGAATGACGAGTGGAACAACAGGTAGGAAAGCATATTGGAACAACTTATTTCTCGTCGTAAATTATCTCTAATGTTCAAAGAAAGTTAAAGGAAAATTCCGTTAGATAAAAAATATATTAAATCATAAAAACATTTGGTTTCACCCGCTATTGACGTAACAACTTTGTTTTAGTTATCTAACATGTGAATTTAAACTTGACACTTGTAAAAGTCTTGCACAAGTTCAGTTCAAACTGCATCATTTCTTTCGCCAAAAATATCACATTTTATAATTTAATATTTGAAACTTGTAAAACTTTGGAATAACAAAATATCATTAATTTTCTTCTTGCTATCATATGATAACATGACATGTTGAAACTTGTACAAAATAAAGTTCAGTCAGTCAAACATTTAATTATTACAAAATGGCACTGTAAGTAAGTGTCGCATTTTGTATTACTTGTCCATATTTCCTTTTTAAATAGATGAGTCAAATTGTCTTTTGAATAAAATTTAAACGCTAATAATATTTAGCGAGATCTGCTCTAGTTTGCCAATTAAGTTCAAATTTTTATAAACGACTAACCAACGCGACCCCTACAGCTGCAGTTTTAATGATTTAAGGTTTATGTTAAGTTGTCTATATAGACTGTGGAGTTGTTTTTATTTTGGTTCTTAGTCATGATTTTTATGAAACGTAGCCTAAATCGTTTAAAGTAAAAAAAAAAAAAAAAAAAAAAAAAAAAAAAAAAAAACCTTAAACATTGAAAAATAAGTAAGCATTTTTAAAATAAATAATGCTATGTTATTAATTCTTACATGAAACCTGGTTTGTAAATAAATATTTATGATAATTACAATTCACCTTCTTGAACTCTTTCACACTCTAACGGTTGTTGTTGTTGTTGTTGTTCATGAAAATAGTATTAGAAGAAAGGCCTCGTCGGCATTGCATACGACAGATGTATTGTGGTTCACATAACATATTCTACTTTGCTTTAAATTGTAGGGTTTTTTGGGTTTTTTTAAGTGTCGTCTCACATACGCTGTGTCATTCATAAAAAGCTTGAATGATCCAAAGTCAATACGTCACTTCACCCTTCTTTAGGGCTGTTACCTACCACGTGTTTTTAAATATGACTATCATAGTCATAATGAACTAGCAGCTTTTTATGGTGACTCTTATGACCTGAGGTATACATAATGTTAATTCATGGTGCGTCAGCATCTTAGACAGAAGATACTAAAGTACTTCGCAAGAGCTTCTTGGTTTTACTGGTCACCTGGAGACACTGTTTTTTTTTGTTGTTGTTGTTGTTTTTGTAATGTCGAACGTTTTCACTTAAACGTATAACACCAGTGTATGTATGTGTTTAAGAATGACATTTTGTATGATAATTAACTTGTACCTTTCTTTTAAAATATATTTCAAGTTACTTGTGGAAATTGGAAATAGTCAGATAATGTATTTGTGTTTTGTCGTTACTGTCTTGTATAATTTTTTATTACTTTCATATCATTCGTTCAATGATTTTTTTTTTCCTTTAGCAAAACGTTTCTGATTAATAAAAAATAAATGGCAGTACAATCTTCCTCTACCTAGTAGCAACGCTGACTTGTGTGTGTATGTTGATGTGGTTATTTATGGTTCGTAGCCTCCCACTCTTCAGACCAAGTTCGTGTCTTCCAGTTTAAATACAACCGGTTCATTTGATAACCATCTGAGTAGGTGCTGGAGCAGTAGGATAATTGTCCATTAATTCCAGGCACGTGCTTGTAGTCTTCCCGCATGGTAATTTCAAGAGAAATAAAAACTAACAACTGTTCTGTATCCACGTGTTTTAAGTTAGATGTTTCTTTAGTTAGAAACTATCGCAAACACGTTTACGTAAAGCACATGAGGCTTAAAAGCGGGTGATTTTAGATAACCATGCTTAGAACTGCTGTACAAAATTGGGTTTATAGTCATTTTATATATTTGGTTAAACTCTAATAAAGGGTATAAACATATAAATAAACATACACATTAACTTTGACATTACTCGTAGTTAGTGTCCGCTCAACTTCGTATTGCCCTAGAAACGTTCCTAACGATTTTATACGAACCGTCGTTGAGCTTCACTTTTAGACTTATTCTATATGTATATTAATTTAAAAAATGTAACTTTTTTTTTTTACTGTAGTAGCTCCACCATTTGACAGGTTTTTACTCCATTTCCTCATTCTCTTTGAAGGAAATCGGTTACTGTATAGCCTGGCGAATTTGTCACAATTCAAAAACTGTGACTACAGAGGTTGAGTACGTTATAATGAAACAAATTTGGAGTCTCATCACGTCGATATAGTCCTTACAGTCAACTCACGATCTATCTGACGACTGTGCATCTTGACAACAGTCCTGCGGCGGAGTTTTTGTTAAAAGTTTCCATCGTAAAGCTGTCTTGTTCTCGGTACACCATTCCTCATCACTTAAATATTTTATTTTTTTTCATCTATGTGAAAAGCTAGAATAACATTTGAAAAAGCATCATTACCAATTTTAGCCATCAATCCATTTCGTTAGTTGTTTTTTGTTATTTCTGTTGAAAACGTTCTTTTTATTATCTGCTCTCCACGTTCTCCTTGGATTAAACTCCAGACAAATGAAGATAGAAGATATTTCTGTTCGTGGTAACATAACCTATATGCGTCTCTTCATTGCTGCACAATTACATTAAACCAAATCTTTCGATCTCATGTTTTGCGGAGACAAACTCGCGCGTGTGTAAATATTCCCTTTAAAACAGAATGATACCCCTTTTTTTATATTGAGGAAAAAAAATCAATCAACAAACATGTCGCGTCTTTGTGCGAGACTTCAAGTTTCCGGTTATTTTAATTAATTCATTACCCTTATCTGTTTGTAAATAAAAGAACGCATAAATGCATTTGACATAAGAATATTTCCCATTTCAAATTAAAGGTTGCAAAAATTCGTATCGTTTTGTTTAATTATAGAAAATGTGTTTGTATCATGTTAATGTACTTAGCACGTCAGTAGTCCACCTCTCGACTATAATCTATAAGCTTCTAGACCGTGAAACAGCACGTAAATAAGTAAAACATTATTACCCTTGAGTTAAACCATGTAAAACGATACAAGACATTAACGGTTATGCTGTTTATCTTAACTCTCCCACCACATTGTCTCCAGTTGTACTTATATCTTTACAACTTGCAAATATTTCTCGTATAGGGTTAAGCTGAATGACCCGTACTTAATTCGTAAAAACGAAACTCGAAAAAGCAGTGAGTGTCCACAAGAAAAAATGTTAACTCGATATATTGAAGTTATCATATTTCGGGTAATAGCCATGCAGGAGAGCACTCGAGTTTACAAAGTGCAAGGCAGAAATTCTTTCTCGTAGCTCCTGCAGATTCCTCTTGAAACACTAGTGTTCTAACTGGTTTCAAGCGCAACGTATTGATGAGGGCTTTCGGAATTGTTCTAGTGGGAACTATATATAACTGGAAAACCTATTGGATCTCGTATCTAGTATCCTACCTTCAATGAAATTACGTGCATGCCTAGTAAACAATTTATGTAATTTTGGTTCTTCAGTCCAAATAACAATCTAAAACCCTTTTAGGAAAATAAAAAGCTGTATTATTTAACTCGCGCCAAATAAATAGTGTTCCAATAGATGTAGTGACTATCGCTTTCACAGATGTAATTTATGATAACTAGATCTAGGATCAAAATCAAGATTGAACACTTTCAGTGGCGTAGGTCCCACAAGGACTGTAATAAAAGTTCTGCGTTCATGTGAAAAATTGTCTTCAAGAGGCTCAAAGTGCCTACTTTTGCAATTGAGACATTCGAGACGTAATCAACTGACTTTTGCATCTTGTAGTTTAACACGTTATTACCATTGATCTCATGACTAAAAAAAGTCTGGGCTGTAAAGCAGGTTCAGATTCCGGTCCCATCCTAAAGGTTCCTGTTCAGTTCAATACATGGAAACTCTGGGGATGGTATTTACATTTACTTGCACGTTTCATGTAATTAAACTTGTTTTCATTTAAAATTGTTTGTTATTTAGCACAAAGCTACACAAAGGGGCTATCTGTGCTCTGCCCACCACGGTTATCGAAACCTAGATTCTAGCAGTACAAGTCCGCAGACATACTACTGTGCTACTGGAGGGTTGGGCTTCATTTAAAGCAAAAATATTTCAAAAGTATTTAAGGAGTGCGCGAATTTCCATACAAGAAGCGAACTTGTATTGTATGGAAAGTATTAAATGAAAATGCTTTTGTTTCAAGTAAATGAATGAAATAGTTGTCTTCTAGAATTTAGCTGGTAGATGCTAGGAAGTAAGAAATAAATAAAATGTACATAAATGTGTAAGGTAAGAAATAAAACAATATGTAGGTTTAAATGCTTCCTAAACCTTAAAATGCGCTAAATAGGAACCACTTATTATTATTACAGTGCTATGAATATGCGCGCGCGTACACACACACACACACACACACACACACACACACACACACACACACACACACACACACACACACACACACACACACACATATATATATATCAAACTCTTGTTTGTTTTTTTCATTTTGTTTTTTTATCTTGGTAATACTGATGTTTCTTTTCAATTGGTTACCTTAGTAATATTGAAACTAGGGGAATGACATGAGTAGTTTTTTTTTTGTGTTTGTCAACTTATGTCTATGATGTGAATTTACACCTTACTTGTTATTAAATAGCCATTATTGAATGTTGGTAGATTTTATTCTTCATCTAGAGTCTAGACTTGTGTACAACACTTGTTCACTCTTCATTGTTTGTTTGTTGTCTTAAAGGTATTCTTATAAATATTCAATACAAAACAAGATACCTTATTCATACAATAATCCCACATTAAAATAGTATTTCAAGTATATTTATATTTACTGCTACTAATTTATTCTTGTAAATTATTCAGCTAACAATCAGTTTAAGATGCTAGAATATAGAAATGAAGTCCAATCTACCATTTCACATACTGGTTTTGAGGAATTCCACCCCTCATCAGTCTTGCTCTTGGTATTCTTTAGATGTTTATTGCTTAGTGATCATAATAGTTTTGAAAAGGACAACTAAAACTTTTGAAAAGTGATACCTATTCATTAGGAAAATGGCTACAGAACAATTAAGTATTCATGTTTGTTGTTTTAGTTAAATTTTTACTTTGAGTTATTAAGATACTTGTATGAATTTCATAATGTTAATGAAATTAAGTGTTGAACAGCTGAAGATATAAAAGTATGAGTACTGATAATAGACTTGCAATGAGTACTGTTCTTCATGCTAATTTGGTGTTTTTTTATATAACAAATTAGCACTTTGTGAAATTTAAAAGTAGTAATAATAAATGTGAAGTAACTAGACTAATTGAGTTGAAATTCATCATTATTGTAATTAATTTTGTTCTTTGTACAGAAAAGAATGTCTTCCTATTGTTTCCTTACACTGTTTAAAAATATTTTTGTGACTATGAGATTGTCAACTAGATTTCTCATTGTGTATTATGATTTTGTTTACATCATATTAAAATGTATCTTATGTTTTATCAAACAGTTGTGTACATTTGTTGCCATTATAAAAATAATGTTAACTGCTATAGAAAAAAGTAATGCATCAGTGGAAACCAACTTTTACATATGTGATAACTTAAGTGGTTATGTGAGAGTTTAGCTTTCATTGTGCAAGAGGTGTCTCATTTGCCTGTGAAAAAGACTTGCACTGTTAAAGCATGAGAGTTTTCAATTGTTTTGTGTTTTACAAGAGAACTAGTTATTTTTTACAACTTTATTGTATTATGACACATTGAAATACTTGAACTGATTAAAAACAAGATAATAAGCAAACTTTTTTTTAACCTGTTTTCTTTGGTAAATTATGTATACTGAAAGTTGAACTTTGAAGTTCTATAATTCTGTAATTTTCTGTTTCTTTTTTTCACAATAACAAAAATTTGTAGTAAAATTTTTTAATCTATTACATATTTTTTTGAAAATTTTCCTTTGTATTTTCTAATGAAGCAAATATTTCTCCCAAATGACCATGAATGGAATTTTAATTTTTTTATACTATTATATTTTTATTTAGAATTTGAAGAAAGAAAACCCGAGCAATATTCTAAAGGACAGCCACAGACTAGCACGGATTGAACATCAGCTGTCACCTCGTCCAAAGGAGATGTTAAATATATCAACACCACATCCCAAAAACGAACCTTCATCTCTTGATTGTGCTACTGCAACCAAACTGACTCAGGAGGAAATCTCTGCTGCAGTTCAAGCAAGAGTGAGTGCTCAAGGAAGATCTACAGCTTCTGTGTCCTCTAGACTCTCGCAACCACAGGTTACAGACTTTGATGTCAATGTCCTGTCTGTATCAGACCTATGTCATCACATTCAGATAAATAATCAGGTAGAAACCAAACTGTTTTATATCTTTTGAAGGGAGTTTACCATTTATTTAATTTCTATACATAAATTACGAACTCAGGTAAAACACGCACACAGGTAGATTAACCTTTTCTCCAAGCATGTATGAGTGCATGTTCCACCATTGCAGGTTCTATTTTAGTACACTTAGCCCTTCACTTGTTCCATATTTTGTTATCACAGTAGAAAACATTTACTAAGTAACCTCCATGAAAAGAAGCTCAAGGGCAAATGGTTGGTTATGTAACAGCTGTTCCTTTAAGCTTTTCTTGTCTGTCAACTCTCCTCAAAATGTAATATCTAAAAAGCTATGTACAGTGTTTAGATATAATAAGGTAAGTCCTCTTCGGCTGGAACTATATGCTGATATATTCAACAAATGGAAACCTTACTATGCAAGAAATTCTATATCACTTCCAGAGAAAACTGCTGTTAAAAAGAAAATGCATTCTTATTTCCCAAATTTACAGGACTGTTTTTTAGGTTTTCTGTCATTTCTTAATGTAAGAGTAATAACTTGAATGGAAAGAGTGAAATCTTTTGATAGGTAAATTTATGTAAACTTTTATAATCTAGAGTAGAAACTTGGATTAAAGATACATAGTAAAAAATTGTCAGAAAACAATTTATAGGAATAAGTGTCTATATAAATTAAGATATATAAGATAATTCGTCTTGGTTTCAGTTGCCATTATTACAGAGTCACCCCCACCTGAAACAAGTTATCAAAGCTGCTATTGAACAGTCTGTTCAAGAATGGTTGGTACCAGTGGAAGATCATTTCATCAAAATTGTCAGTGGAACATGTGAAAACATTGTTAAGAAGGTAAACGTTTTTTATCTCTATTTTAATTTAACAAGTGCTTGAATTTTTCATACCTCAGAACTATTATATCAGTTTTTTAGTTCTAAACTGTATCTGTATTATTAGTATTTTCTTTTACTATATTAATCACCTAGTGTTTTAGGATGCTTAAGTTGCAAATTTGAATCCATTCACCAAACGTGCTCACACTTTCAGCTATCTGAGCATTATAATGTAATGATCAGTTTCAAGAGTTGACAGTGTACAATGCTAACTGACTGCCTTCCCTTTAATCTATTGCTTCTAAATTAGAGATTGCTAGTGCAGATAGCCCTCAAGTAGCTTTGGACAAAATTCAACAACAAGCAAAAAATAATATATTGATATGATATTTAATTAAGAGAAACTGACTTTTTGTTTCAGGACTTTGCTCTTGATCCAGAAGAAACCAGAATGCGTTCTGCTGCTCATCTCATGATCCGTAGTTTGACAGCAGGATTGGTAATGGTAACATGCCGAGAAGTACTTGATTCGTCTATTAATACCAATCTTAAATCCTCATTTCTGACAGCACTCGGAGTAAGTTGATTTTGTAGTATCCTGTGTATTTACTTCTTGTGACCATTCTTATGTTTTTTTCGTTATTGTATTCTTAAATATGGCAATTTTATTTTTGAGCGCAGATAATGTTTTAAACTTTCGTTTATTAAGAAAATTAATAAAAGCAAATAATTGATAAAATGTGGAGATGTTCATTATGGTGTCAGTAGTAAAATCAAAATAACTATGGTTTTGACTTAACTAAAAATAACACAAGTTAACTTTTCATAATTTTCCTTCTGTGAAAAACTACTATCAATAATGTCAAACAGTTTTGCGACATAATAGTACTTTGAAATACCTTGATTTTCAGTGAAATAAACAAATAGGCCTAGTGTGGCCAGGTGCTAGGGTGCTCAACTCATAATCTGTGGGTTGCAGGTTCAAATCTCATCAATGAACATGCTTACCCCTTTCAGCTATGTAGGCATTGTAATATGAAGGTCAGTCCCACTCTTCGTTGGTAAAATAGTTTGTGGTGTTGACAAGCTGCTTTCCCTCTATTCTATTGCTCCTAAATTAGGGATAGTTAGCACAGATAGCCCTCTTGTAGCTTTGTGTGAACTTTAACAAACACATTAAACTGGTATTTTTTTTTAACAGGGAGCAACACAGCATCAGAAGGAGCTTGTAGAACAGACTGCCATTGTTGTAGCTCAGGAAAACATTCAACTGGCTTGCTGTTTCGTACAGAAAATTGTTGTGGAGAAAGCTGTTCTGGAGCTAGACAAAAGATTAAATACTGTAAGTGATGATTCTTTCTCTTGATCTGTGTACTATATTTACTTTCTTGTTCACCCTGTCATGAACAATTACAGGCTTATAAACATATTTTTACCACTAGTATATCGATGAGTTTGGAATGTGAAATATAGGTAAATTTTTTTCCCCAATATTTCTCTATGTAAATGAAGAAAATGTTGTGTTTATACTTGTCATTTTTGTGCTTGCATAATATAGTATAATTGTTTCTGCATGCAGGAATATGAGTTACGGAAGCTTGCAAAGGCTGAAGAACGACGCTACTGTGATCCAGTAGTGCTGACATATCAGGCTGAAAGAATGCCAGAACAAATCCGGCTAAAGGTATGAAACTATTTTCTTATTGAATTATGAAAAGAAAATAGTCTTCTGAAAATGTTGATGTTAAATAAAGTGAGGAAGCTATTTGAAAATAAATTTTCCATGTTATCTGGAACAGTGGTTCCTAACTGCCAGCACCCAAGAAATTTCAACCAGTCCTCAAAATGATGTAAAAAAAAATTGTATTTTAAAATAAAGCTACTGAAATATGTTTTACAGTGTAGTTTCAAAGTAATTTAAAAATTTAATACTGTACAAAGCAGTCCATGAAATTTTAAGATCAGAACTATCTTGTCCTCAGTTGGAAAAGGTGGCAACCACTAATCTAGAATATTAACAACTAGCTACTATTTCAGAATTGTTTATTTTTGTTCTCTAAAATAGTTAGCACTAGATAATATAGAAGATTTTTGAAGATTTGCATAAAAATTCAGAAAATCATTGTTAGTTACAATAAAACATTTAATATTGTTTTTGGTTCTTAGAAACTGTGTTGAGTAATATTTTTCCAAAGGAAAAAAAACTAATCCAAAAATGTAATTTCCTCCCTCCTCCTTCAGTTATCTGTTACAGAGAAATAAAAGTGGTGTACATTTTTATTCAGTTTAAAATAATTATCCATCAATTTAAACCCTCAGTTTTACATTTGTTTGTTGGAAACCATTGCTTATGTCAAAAGAATATGTATCGATCGTTCAGTAGCCAATCTACAAATCGGTCACAATAAACCCTATAATAAAGGTAATAATTCTATTGTATTTCTCTATGTAGGAATATTTTTACATGACTCTTGGAACATTTTTAATAAATTTGGTGCTCATGTAACTATATTTTTATCATGAAGAAAGGACTGTTACTTCATTTGTAGTTGCATTGTTTCTTTAAGGAAAGCTCTGTGGCTCACCCTGTATATGGGACTTGAGCAAGAAAAAAAGCAACATTCCACTTAAAAGTTCTGTATGTTTACATTCCTTTTAGTATAAGATTGTGGTTTATCTATTAATCTGTTTGAATTTTTCCTTGTCATTAGTCATTTTTACAAATTTTCTTATAGAAACCTGGAGATCTTTAAACACCTATTCATATTTGGCTAAAATATCTGAAAAAAAAAAAAGAGAGAGAGAGACAGACAGACAGACAGACACACACACACACACACACACACACACACACACACACACACACACACACACACACACACACACACACACACACACACACAC